GCCGGTTCCAGACATGCCGGCAAAATCTCACTGCTCTTTAAGGTTGCTGGGAAAGAGGTGGCGGGGGGTGTGAGTGTTTGGGGGAGGGGGTAATTGGTTCCTTATGTCAAGCTGCTCTTAGTTTGATGTTAAATAATGGGCCCTTTTTTGTTTAAAATGATGGCTTTTCCATTTGAACTGATGGAGGGGCGAGCAGTGAATTCTGGGAGTTCCCATCACTGTTCCACGCTCCTCTATGGGCGCAGAGTTTTCCACTGGCTGCAGAACGATGGCGTTTGGGGGATTTGGGAAGGCTCGGTGCGGTCGCACTCTCTGCGGCTTCCAGTGCGTCTGCTTATGCGGAGGGAGCGCGACGTCCCAGAGCCACCTCGCATAAACGGGAATGGCCGCAGGGTGTTTATGAAAGAGTTAAACACGGCATATCTCACAAATCTGTCAGCGCAGACACTCAAAAGAGGCCTCACTGTTACTGCTTTCTGGTGTTACTCACTGGGAGGACTTATCAGGAGTACTTATTGGCAATATTAACATTTAGCAGTAGTGCTTACTGCTGGTAATCTCACTGGTAATACTCAGGTAATACTGCTGGTACTACTCACTGGTAATACTCAGAGGGAGGACTTATTGGAAGGACTCACTTGGAGTACTGAGTGGTAGGAGTAGCACTCACAAGTAGTAACAATAGTCACTGCTTACTAGTCATACACACTGGGCATATTTATTGGTAAATATAACTGATAGCATTATGAATAGTACTCACAGGTAGGACTAATGACTCACTAGGAGCACTAATTGGTAAGGATAACTGGTATTACTCACAGGTAGTCACTGTGTTTTACCTGGGTTTCAGAGATCCCCAAACAGTGCAAAGTCACAGCGGGGATTTCACCACTGTGCTCACATGCTCTGTTCTCTGTGAAATGGACCGTAAACTGCTGATGTATAAAATTGCCCCTCCCTCTATCAATCCCGTATGACTGTCTGTGAGCATTAATCATAACATCTGATGTGACTGTTTTTGTGTCCACCCATTCAAATACGCTTAAGACTGGGATATTTTCAATAACTTGTTCCATTTGCTGGAATCCGTTAAAATTTCATCTGAAACGTAGCCTCCTGAGACCTATCAATTCATTCTTACCCTCTGCGTTATGTTGTTAGTCATATCGCTCATACTATACATGTAAGTCTGTTAGATAGATAGAGAGATACTTCATTAATCCCTGGAAGGAAATTATGGAAAAACGACACCAGAGCTGTACTTTAGGTAAAGCAACCTATGTGGGGGGTGTGACTATACAGACTTCCTCTTCGTGCAAATCATAATTTTAATCGATATTTAAAAACTCTCAGCAAGATATGCCTGATTAATTTTTTTCAGAAACGACATACACTTTTTGGGATTATGCAGGACTCATCAGTTTGATGTTAATACCCCCCAGGCCCACATTTATTAAACAAAAGAACCTCTCTGATGGTGCATTTCATGCGTGTGGGGAAAAAAACAATCAATAAAAAAAATGTGACTTCCTGAACAAACACGTGTCTGCTCTTTCTGGAGTCCCATGTCATGAGGTTCTGGAGCAATCACCTTCCATTCCTGCGAACAGGTTTTGCAGGACGTGCAGCATGCGTACGGCGGAATGGGGTAGCGGCAGGGACAGAGAGGGAGAGCAGAGCATATCGCCGATGTCCTGCGTCACAGCTACAGAGGTAAACTTCCACAAGAACCTCGAGGACCCCGTGGTGACGTAGGGCAGAGTTGTATTCCTGCCCATCCCCCCCACCCCCGTGCACTGGAACCATTGGAGCGTGCCACGCACACAGGGACTGCGTTATCTTATCTGCGTAGCGGCTGCTGGGAGCAGGACGCATGAGGCCATGCCTGAGATGTGGCCAGACATGCCGGCAGTCAGACACCGCAGCACGATGGCGGAGGCCACACAGGTCAGCTGACATTCTTCCAAATGTACGTTTTAGTCTTCTGGTCATGTATGTCCAAGTTCATCGATGCACCATCCAGTTGTCTCTCTCCCCTTCCCCTGACTCCTCCCCCCCCCCCCCCCCCCCCCCCCCCACCCCCTCTCTGCACCCTTTTCTCTCTCTCCCCTGCTCTCTCCTCCCCTCCTGTCACTGACCTTTCCCTATATCTGGACTGTATCGCTCACACGCCCTTCCCGCCGTTTTTGCCGGGGCCCTCTTTGACTTACTCCTCTCCGTAATGTCCGAACCTCTGGCCGGTCCCCCAGCATTCCTCGGTCCGCCGTGTCCCCTGCTGTCACTGCCGTGCTCCTCCCCCCGCATTACTCAGCGGTCCCTCACACTGTGCAACCTGAACTGAGCGCCCTTGCGTGTTGATTCACATGCACACTGACGCTCGTCTCTTAAATACCTTTCCTGCTGCACTCGCTGCCTCCCCCCTCCCCCCCCACCACCACCCTAACTATCATCCTCACTGCCTCTCCTTCTGCGACATGGAAGATGCTGGCAGTCAGCCGTGCCCCATCATCCCAGAGTCTTTTATTCAGCCCGTGTTCCTGGACGTAATTAAAAGCATAATCAGCATCGTCACTTAGTCTGTTTATCAACATCCTCCCAAACGCATCTATTTGTTTCCTGCTTAACGTCGTACCCCAGAACCAACGTCATGCTGCGGGGAATAAATGAGGCAATTAGCATCTGTTGGCAAAGGAGCCGGGACCCCATGGACAAATTAATTAGGACCTGCAGCGGCGGAAGAGCAGCCCGCAGATGGACTCCAAGCCTGCTAGTGGAGGCACCACGCTTCGCACGCACAGCCTCTATCGGCACTGATTTATGTAGACGCGCATGCTGAGTGCATTAACACCCTGCTCCTTTAAGTACGATTTCAGTAAGTCTGCCTTGTCTAGTAGCGTCAAACCAGTAGCCTATTCTTCCCCATTCCAACTGTGACTTTTCCTGAGGAGCATGTAAAACTCTGGGGCAACCTACTGGTATTATTATGATTACTATTGTTGTTGTTGTTGTTATTGTTAAGGAAACATTTAGCCATTTTCCCCTACGAAGCGATGTTGACTTTCGAGCTAAAATAGGCTACACGTAAGCTTTCAACCCTGGCATCTTCATAAAATGGGGATATGAAACTATTATTTTTTACCTCTGGGTGGTCAGGGCAGATCGGTGTAAGTTGGTTACTTCTGCATTCTTCTGACAGCTATAAATAAGAGTCATCAGCGGGCAAGACGTTAATGATGAACGCGACCAAAAAGCTGCTGTGGTCCCAGCAGCTCGGATAAAGCAGCGATTAAACAGCAGCGATTAAATAGCAGCGAATAAACAGCAGCGATTAAACAGCAGCGATTAAACAGCAGCGATGCAGCCAGCGTGCAGATCCAGCCTGCCGCCAGCGCTAATCTGTCAGCATTTCTGCCGACCTATGGTTTAACCCTGCCGCACTATTGCGCATTTGATTAAATTGAAGGCACCAGCATTGAAATTGCAGAGTGGAAGGGTCTCCATCTGATAAAACTAGATCAAACAGCGATGCTGGTCATGACTTCACAGGCCCTTATCTGTTATGCAGATGTTGCAGTTTAATTACTCGCAGTCTCGCTGTATTCCCTCTGACTGGCAATCGTTAGCAAGCCTTTGATATAGAGATCAAAAACTATTGTTCGGAGAACAAACACTAAAAATATATTTTTCTATTAGTTTTTTCACGTATATTTTTATAAACACAGGAAACAGGTAATATTTAAATATATCAATTATATATTAAATATATAGTTATCTGTTTTTGAATTACTTATACATCACCTTAAGCAACTGCTTACAAACCCTATAACATATCACTGCTGCCCATTTCAATGCTACAGAATACAGTAATGTGCATGCAAACAGCATCAGCGCGTGAACAACACCAATTCTGTCTGTAACTAAAATTAGGGAGAATGCAGACATGATCCAATTAACATAGTCTGCTAGCTAGGTTTGTTATCTGTGTGAGAAATCGTAACCGGCATGCATACTATTTTACACTGTAAAACGGATCAGATGGAGATTTCAAGTCGATAATGGGAGCCAAAACCAAGAAAAAGCGGTGTTCATGCTATGCCATATGATATCCACGATGTGCTATAATTCTTATTTTTTTTTTAATAATAATTTCTGTTAGAACATTACGGTTTATTTGGAGGTGGAAGTGAAACCATGATGCATAACCAACGTAAATTTTGTTAGTAAATTTGGCGTTTCCATGCATGAAACTACAGGCTACAAACTAGCAACACAATCTTTTGTATGACACACATCAGCCTTTTCCTGTCCCGGCAGTACCCGAAGTGAAACGCAGAGGTGTAATTAGTTGGTGTAACTGCAGCTTTTGATATGTTTATCCCCCCGAGTTATAAGGCACCGTGACGAAAATCGTGTGAAAGCTTTTCTGTAAGTGGCATTGTTATATACACAGAAAAGGTGATTAAGGATGATGTTATGCAGTGGCTGTCCGTGTTTGTTGTCAGTGAAAGGGAGTTTAGATAACCCCGTGGCATCAATCATATGCATTCTCCTGACTATTGATCACGCTTTACATACGACTAAAGAGGGTATTCCGCCGAATGTTATCTCATACATGTTTATTACGGAATACACAGGGTACTCATCCCACATTGTACCACTGCACTTCTGATACCGAGTGAGCTCAGACTCTGGGGCTTCTCCAGCGGGTGAACGCCTTAAGGAGGCTCAGACACTTTCAGACTGGTGTTCATAAAGGACCCTAAACTTAATCACAGCGCAAAGCGATGGAGCAGATCGCGCAGGGTTCAGAGGGACTGTAATCGAAAGACTTTAAAGGACATTTAGGTATCGGACGTTTAATTATCTCGGGAATCGCACAGTACCTATATTTTGCAAGTACGCCTTCTTCACTCCTTGAGCACATGGAAAACTCATGTTCTCAGAAAAAAAAAAACATATACGGGATACGCGGCCACTCACTGATTAGTAAAGGAAATAAAACTTCTTTCTTCGCTTCTTTCGTTTTTTTGTAAACTTAAGTCTTGGCTAAGTACAATGTGTTGTCAATTAGGTACTCCGGAGAGGGCGAATTAGGCGTGTGTCTGGGTGTGTATATCTATGTGAGCGTGTGTGTGTGCGCGCGCTAGTGCGCCTGCCTGACGTCACCAACACCAGTGGATGCCGCTGCTACCTCCAGGCGTTCCACACCGCCCCAGTGGAGAGGAGGCATCGACAATATGCTTACTCCGGACGTCCCGAGTGCCCTGCATCCCGCGATCTGTCCTTTATGGAAGTAAGATGATCACAGCAAACGCAGCTTCTCTCCGCTGGAAAAATCCTACGCGCCCCTCACAGTGACACATCTCAACTTCTCGTGGAGTTCTGGCTGTTTTATCACTTTTCCATTTCTTTTTTTGGGAATAACGGTTTGTGGAAATACGATTTCAAGGCGAAAAGAGTAATGTAAGTACGGAGCGATTTCATTATTACTGACACTTGAAACGTATGTAAGCATTTAAATGTTGCTTATGATAATCAAGATTTTTTTTCGATGTATTTATTTAAGCTATGTATTTCACAAAGGGATAATTTATTTACCACGTACGTGGGGCCCTGTAACAGTGGGTAACACTGTGGAAGTGAGTTATCATTGCCAGCGTGTACACCAGGCATAATTAAGTGTGTGCCTAACGCAGCAGGCTGTGCGTGCAAATGCAGCCAAACTGCTCGCAGATAAGCGCAGCTTTCTAGGTTCACCCTTGACTGTTCGGACACAAATGCTCACTGACAGGCTAGTTTGAGTTGTTTGAGGGGGTCCACATAATGGCAAAAGGTTATTACCTCCGCAGGGATGTCCGTCTTTTAAGAACATGTATCTCACTCCTGAAAAGTTCGGCATGCAACTCGGCTATAGAGAAACCCGAGTCCAACATTTTCCAGAAATCATTCCCGCACCCTCACGTCTCCTTGGCGTTTCCGACTGACAGATTTCGTTGTCTCATTCAGTAACGCGCAAAGTCACTTATTGTATTGATTGGCTTACCTAATTAATCTAATTAAATCAGTGCCTGGCACCGTTTTAATGCGTTTTTCCGATAAGCTGGATACCGTTAGATGGCAGGCGCTCCCTGCTGGCCCGGCCCCATTCCTGACTGCCGTACCTTGGGAAAGCTGCATTAAGTTTGCGGGACTCCGCATTTGCGTTATGCAGCCTCATATACAGTACGGCGTTTGTTCAATTCGGGAACATATGCGAGGGTCTGGGAATTAATACTCCTCATGAGGTAGCGGCTTGGGAATTGCCTAAACGGTACTGCCTGTCTCTGATTTCTCAGTTTATGATTATTTCTTGCAATTGGGAGTAGGCTACATAATACTGAGTCGTATTACGAATTTAATCGTCAGCAGATCGGCGAGATGTGTGTAGTTGGGGCTCCATTTTATGAGCTCTGCGATCCAGTTGCGTGTCGGTCCCTGCTACACGGGCTGCACACAGATTTAATAAAGCTTTTCAGATGTCTACCTTAGCATTAGCCTCGGAACAAGCCTTTTAATATGGTTTAGAAAGAAAATAACAGCTTTCATTAAATTCTTACTACAATTTAGTTTTACAAGTGGGTGTGAAACTGTAGGAGGGTCCAGACTTTATTTTGGACCTGTGAATTAGAATATCTTTATATTCGTGTTGTGGTTTAGAGCACGCCTTTAATTTCAGCCAAGGGTGTGTTTTCAGGCCGTAGAATAATACGAGTTTGTGTTTTTTTTAAGAACAAGAGCATTTATTATGATCTTAAGGAGGTACCTAAACGAGGTAACAAGGATGGTACCCTGGAATATTGCTTTTATTTGTTTTTCTGTCTTCTTCCTAAATGTATTGATCTGTTTGTGCAAGTTTTTTGCACTTTGGTGCTGTTTTGCTGCTTGACTGGTTGAGTCCCACCTCCTCCCGCAGGTTATGTGAGCTGTCTTTTACTCAGGCCAATGTGGAAGACTGAAGTGATGAGTAGCATGACCTGGGTGTGAGGTTAGAGTTAGGACCCACAACAGCGCTGTAGAGACAGTCAGAAATAGTGGAGGGTGTAGCTCTTTGCTACACCTATCATGCCACATTTAAAATTATTTCTGGAATTGCCTCGTGTTTGACCAGTGGGTGGCCCTGCCGTGGCCAGCCCAGGCCCCTCCCTGTGGTACAACGCGTAGGTGCCCGGGAATAAACCTTTAGAGGCCATGTGTGTCTAGCAAACCTTCTTGCCATCTGGAAATATGCTACACAGACAGATATTGTACTGGAGCTGCTCAGGAAAAGAAACCATCAGCTTTAAGGTTGTGAGTCTGTGTCCTTAAACACTACTCCACCTAGTGTCCGAGTATGGAAAACAACATGTTGCCAAAGGTCAGTTGGGTACAGGGAACCCCCAGGTTAAGAATGACCAACTTACGGAAAACTCGTACTTATGAATGGACTGCCATAAAGCTTCTTATATAAAAAATTCTGGTTAAATAGAATGGTTCATAATAATGAACGCACACATTACTTTGTGATGCTGATGAAAACATTGTGTTGCCTCAATGATTTGTCAGTACAGTACAGTACCATATGTAGCTACTTATATTATTACTGTATTTTTATTATGTACTGAATTATTATTATTCCAAATTACACATTCAACTTAAGACGGATCTAAGCTACGTATCTGGTTTGTAACCTGGGGACTGCCTGTATATGGTGACTCAAACTTCGCTTCCTGTGTTAGACTGTAAAGGCAGCTGCTGAGGCTTTAATAGTATGATCATTTCAGATCAAACGCTTGAATTCTCAGCCTCTTTCTGGAGGCGTGAAAGGCAGGGAGGTGGAGTCTGAGACGTCGGGGGGGCATCTCAGACCTGAGCCGCATGCGGCGTGGCCTTAAGGGAGATGTCAGACAGGAAGTTTGCGCCACACACGTAAAAATGTGTATCTCATTAGCTAACTTATGGACCCCTATGGCAAAACAGATAATTACCCAGCAACAGACCAGACGGTGTGTGAGTACAGGGGCCACAGCCACGTCAACAAATGACTGCATGCCTGAAACTCGTTCATTTTCTTGATGGTTTTTCCAAAGCATTTATCCTGAGTTGTTATGCTGGCGGGCTCTCCGGTCGTACGGAAGAGAGCATCGTTGGCACGGTTGTCGTGGAAAGAGCGGCATTTCTCCCCAATGGGGTGTGTGTATTTAAATTCCGACACTCTTGGGTCTACTTTTTTTTAAAACCTCTTCTTACTGGGTGGAGACTGAGATTTTAAAATTGCAGCCAGTAAATGTGGAAACAGAGACTGCCTTCTCTGTTCATTTTATTCCACGTTCTAATTTTACAGATGGTATCTAATTAACCTGGAAAATTATACTGTCGGTTACATATGGCTGTCCCGGGTACATAAGGATGTAGAGCATGAGCCAGTCAGTCGTGGGGCCTGAGGCTTAACCCTAACCCTAACGGCCCGCTGACGTACCCGGAGAGTTCCGTGTGCGTGTCCAGGCTTGCCGGCAGGGTGCCGCGAGCACTCAGCCCAGCGGGGTCAGCACCCCATGGTTGATAAACATGATTCCAAGCAGAGGCCCGGAAATATGGGCTAGAAGAATGCAGCGTGTGCCTCATTAACCCTTGTGTGTGACACAAGCACCGCCTCCGGTCAAGCGTCTGGGAAGGGGGGGGGGGCTGCTTTCATCTCCTCAGTAGGGTGGACGTGTGGTAGACTTCTGCACAGAACTGTCAGTAATGGCCCCCCTGCATCAAAAAATGTGCTCAAAGGCAAATTATGGCTGTTTTTATATGGCAAGGAGATCTGATCCTCCCCGCTGTCCCACAACTGTGCTCAGGGACTAAGCGAAAAACGTACAGGGGGCCTCGCATTGTACCACAAATCAGATGTGTTCAATTAGCAGTTCTGAATTATAATCACTTTTCCCGAAACTTCTGGCTGAAGACATGATGACAAAGGTGTTTATAATCTTTAAAATTCAGCTGCTGATTTATTGAATCTGCGTCACAAAACAGCAGTGTATATTGTTTACAAGTGCACATTGTATACAGTCATTGAAATGAGACTTCCCACAGCCTGCAGACACTGTGTTAGTACTCTGCCCCCTTATTTGCCAAAAAATGTTCACTAAAATCCCCTAGACCTGTAAAACAATTGAAGGATTTCAGACAGCAGCAGTGAAACCACACCCTTTGGGCAGCCGGAGAGGTAGTGGTCTGTGGTTGGGCCGCCTTGGTGCATCTCACATCCCAGCCGTGGTGCATCTCACATCCCAGCCGTGCTTTCCCTGCTCACGGGGATCTTGTGTTCCTGGGCCGGAACGTGGATCAGTTTTGATCCTGCTTGTTTTTCTTATGATTGACTCCAGGACCCCTAACAGCAGAAGATAGCAGACTTTATGGCCTCATTGATTTGACGGACGTTTAATAGTATGCTTTATCTTTACTGTGTGCCCCCTGCTGACTTCAAGAACTAGCAAATTGTAACCATAAATACACTCTGATAAGGGTTAGTGATTTATATGTGTTTCTGCGCTGTGTGAAAGGCTGGGGAGAACATTACAGCACAGAACATGATTGAACACATGATTGTTGCTTTAATCTGTTTCGACTGTTTTGCTTAGGGCAGTGTTTTCTGGCTTCAATGTGGCATTAAAGTGGCAGTTGTGCATTAATATACGCTATTTGATCTAATGATCCTGTGTAAATGGCGTCATTTTGAAATGCCAGGTATGTGTGAGGTGATGCTGAAAGGGACATGGCTGTGTGGCTCCAGAGCTGCATTTTCGCCCGAGAGTCCCCTCTGCCGTCGTGTTTACGATGCAGGGCCGCCGTTTTGGGAGCCAGTTCGGATTACCCACACGCACCGACACACATTTTGAGTTTTTTCGCAATCTACGTAAACACGTTTGACACACTAATGCCTTTTATGGGCATTAAAATATTTCCAGGTACAGTACTATCAAAAAAAGGCATATTTAATTTAAACCACTTTTCAGGGACTACCCCAAATGTATTGTTTATTTTTCTTTACCATTTTCAAATTTAAGAACACGATATGAAGACAAAAAACGGAAACGAAAGCTATTGGCTGAGAGACGGAGAGGCGGAGTTTCACACTGTTGACCTGCAGGCTATACAGCAGCACACATGTGCTTTCTAGGGGCAGGTAGTTATTATGGTGCTTCTGGGGGCTTTCTTAGGGCAGGCCTTCCTGCCCAGCGTAGAAGGGCAACATCTCATTTTGTTTTCCACTTGCCTGCAATGTGGGGCATTAGTGGGTTGGTGGGTGTGGGGGGGAATGGACAGGATTTGGTCACACAATGAAACCAGAACTGAATTGTTGAAAAACATTGCAATTTTTCACCAGTTAGGATGCACAGGAGCAGGGGGAATAAACTGATAGGGCTTCCCCATCATCTGACCTGTGCATGAAGATC